TCCATAAAATCTCTTCATTAGGTGTTATTTAGTAGTTTGGTGAAGTGTTTGGAGAAGCTAAGGTGTCAAGCAACTCTCTCTCTCTTGTTTTACTAGGTGAGTAGTGAATGAACCTTCTCCTTCATCTAATGAAGCTTAATTGATGCCTAGTGATAGTTAAAGTGATGAATTTTGTGGTTATTTCTTGCTTTTGGATGAATTGATGAAGTTTTCAATTTATTGGTGATTTTTCTGGTTTAATATGATCATGATGGTGTGGCTATCTATGCTGATTGGAAATGATGTTTAATAACTCTAGTAGGTGTAAATGATTGATAATTGCAAGCAATTCTTGGTTTGGAAGAAAATTTGGAAGACTAGGGTTTCATATCCCTCATTTGTCCGGTTTGTATCTCATGGTTAGAGGCCGAATTGGCCTTGGCTTAAAACATGAAAGTTGTAGGTATTGATGTGTTTGAGGTGCCTGAAAATTTCAGGCAATCGGAGTAGTGTAGAATGAGAAAAGTCGAAATTACTATTGCTGTTCTGGATTCATCCGAATGTAAGAACTGCGTCTGAAATTGGTTGTTTTGGCTGGAATTTCTTTGGAATTGGATGTTGAGGTCTTTTGATGAAATGTAGCCCCTTAAGTTCTAAATATGCCTGTAAAATTTCAGGTCAAACGGAGTAGTGTATTCTGAGTTATAGACAGAACACTCAGGCCTGTTTTAGACATTAGTTTGTGTACGTTTTGAATTTCAGCTTCTGACCGTGGGTTTTCCGTTTTGATCCCGTACGATCTGGGTGTCAACTCCTTCATAAGAAATGTAGATCTTGGTCTCAGCTTCGAAACGGTATAAAGTGCTTCGAAATCCGAGTTCCGTAGCTTCCGTTATGACCAAAACAAGATTGATCGTCAGAACTGCCTTGTATCTGGACAGTTCTGACGGGTACTTTGGCACTCAATTTTCGTTCTGTTCTGAGTGGATTCAGGTCTTGGCCAAAACATCAAAGTTTTAGCCTTATGTCTCACCTTTCTAATGCCTTTAGAAATTCCTGATTTGGACTTGTGAGCTAGAAGTTATGGTCCAGTAAACAGACCCTGTCTGTCATTCAAAGTGCAAACTTCTGGTACCGTTTTCCATGATTTCGACTTGTTTTGATTCGGATCTAGTTTAAGGTGTCTTCATGAGAATTGTAGGCCTTCCTCATAGCTTCGAAATGGTGTCTCGTTCACCTTGATCCGATATTCCGAGCCTAACTTTTGATCAAAACGGTTTGCGATGGCCGATTTGGCCGTTTCCGTTTGCCGTTCCGCGCGAGCGCGTGTGCCGATTTTTGCCATTTTGCTTGTTTTGGATCTGTTAGTAGCCATTTGTGATATAATGTGATAAAATCTTCTATTTCAAACAGTGGTGAGCTCGGCGGAGCCGGTGGGGCCCAATACTAGCGAACACGCGCGAAGCGATTTTGCTTTAGTACTACTTTTGGTATTTTGAGTAAGTATTCAGGCCGCTCTTGTGGGTTCGTTGCTTATGTGTTTCGATTTGTATGAAGAGGGTACCTAGGCGAGGGTGTACTTTATCGCACTCGACCTAGACCCTAATTTGCTCACATATCTGTACATGGCTTGTGTATATAAGCAATTTGGAACTAAAACCCTTGAGCTTGTGGCTCAGGGTAACTTTTGAATAATTTTGTGCAATTTGTGAGTTTGGGGCTGATCTCAATACCTCGATGGACTATTCGAGCCGGTTAGGGCTTGGTCGAAGTCAGTCCAACTTGAATTGAGGTCACCAAATTTGTGAATCCGGTTCACCGAGTTGTGAACCAAGTTTGTGACCCGATCTTGTGACTCAAGCTCAAGTTTGTGATTTCGTTCGCCCGGGCAAGTTTGTGAGGTGACTGGCCAGTGAGGGTGATAGGGTGTCCGGTGGGTGTACAAGTGAAGTTCTACGGACCTTATTTATGGTCGACGGAGTGTCGACAGGAGATCACGCATGGCAAATGACTTGGCTTTGGAGCCATATGTATCCTTATCATGTGATGTTATTTTTCTGCTTTTGCTTTACTCCTACTGTGTAAATGTGATCACGTGAAATTTACGTTTTTACCCCTGTTTTCTTACTAAGCTTCTAGCTTACCCCGTTTCCTTTGTTTTTCTTAGCAGGGGACGACGCGGGGAACTTTGGGACTCTGCCGTTAGTATAGTTAGGTCTCGTTTGTAATAGTTGGACAGTTAGGATGTTTGTTTTTGTTTTGGTGGTTTGTATAAGGACCCTCCTTAGGGTCTACCTTCTACTGGTTGTTGTTATAGTATATTAGAGAGGTTTGACTTGATGCTTTTGAAGATGTAAATAGAACTTTTGGTGGTCGTATATATTATACACAGTTCTCTTTTGGTTTAATATCGTTTTATTAGTTTTGTGTTTCGAGTCCTGGCGCGAGCTAGGCAGGCGTCCCGCCGATACCCTAGGATTCGCCTTGGGAGAAGCGGAGGCGTCACAAAGAAGATGTTGTGAAGAAATTGAAGAATTGGCCAAGTACTTGGATTTTCATGCACCTTATAAAAGGGGTAATTTGTATGAAAGTCTTGGCCAAGGAAAAGGGTTTTCACAACCTTCAGAAATTGAACCTCCAAAGTTAGAACTCAAGCCACTTCCGACTCATCTAAGGTATGAATTTCTTGGAGAAAATAAAACTTTACCTGTAATTGTTAGTGCTGACCTTGATGATGAACAGTGTGCAAAGTTGTTAGAGTTCTAAGAAGGCGTAAGAAGGCAATTGGATGGACAATTTCAGACATTAAAGGTATAAGTCCTTCTATATGCATGCATCGAATTTTATTGGAGAACGGTTGCAAATCAGTGGTGGAAACACAAAGAAGACTCAATCCAAACATGAAAGAGGTGGTAAGAAATGAAATTCTTAAATTGCTTGACGTAGGTATAGTTTTTCCTATCTCCGATAGTGTTTGGATTAGTCCAACTCATGTGGTACCAAAGAAAGGTGGAATGACTACAATCGTGGGTAAAAATGATGAATTAATTCCATCTAGACTTGTGGTAGGGTGGAGAGTGTGTATTGATTATCGCAAGTTAAATACGGTAACAAGAAAAGATCATTTTCCCTTACCATTTCTTGATCAATTATTGGAGCGAATAGCTGGATATGAATTTTACTGTTTTTTTCATGGTTTTTCAGGATATAATCAAATAGCTATAGCTCCAGAGGATCAAGAAAAGACCACATTTACATGTCCTTATGGCACTTTTGCCTTTAGAAGAATGCCATTTGGTTTATGCAATGCTCCTGCAACTTTTCAACGATGCATGATGGCTATTTTTTCTGATTATATTGAGAAAATTATGGAGATATTTATGGATGATTTTTCTGTGTATGGTTCATCTTTTGACCATTGTCTTCATAATTTGGAATTGATTTTGCAGAGATGTGAGGAAACAAATCTTGTACTGAATTGGGAGAAATGCCATTTTATGGTAAAAGAAGGAATTGTCCTAGGACACAAGATTTCCTCCAAAGGAATTGAGGTGGATCAAGCCAAAATAGAAGTCATCGAAAAATTGCCACCCCCAAGCAATGTCAAGGGGATAAGGAGTTTTTTAGGACATGCTGGCTTTTATAGACGTTTTATTAAAGATTTTTCTAAAATAGTAAAGCTATTATGTGATTTATTATGTAAAGATACCCCTTTTCAATTTGATGACAATTGTTTGGTTGCATTTGAAAGGTTGAAGAAGGAATTGATTTCGACCCCAATTATAACTTCGCCCGATTGGTCACTACCATTTGAATTGATGTGTGATGCAAGTGATTATGCGGTTGGAGCAGTTTTGGGACAAAAGAAAGAAGGACGGTTGCACGTCATTTACTATGCTAGCAAGTTGCTAAATGAGGCACAACTCAATTATGCAACTACAGAAAAAGAGCTATTGGCAGTGATATTTGCTTTGGATAAATTTAGATCTTATTTAGTAGGATCTAAAGTTATTATATATACGGACCATGCGGCTCTTAAATATTTGTTACATAAAAAAGATGCAAAACCAAGATTAATTCGGTGGATTCTTTTATTGCAGGAATTTGATGTGGAGATAAAAGATAAAAAGGGAACGGAGAATCTAGTAGCGGATCATCTATCACGCCTAGAATATATTCCAGTCAAAAATCAAGTTCCTATTCAAGAGAATTTCCCGGATGAGTTTGTCCTAGCAATTATCAATTCTCCATGGTATGCTGATATTGCTAATTTTTTGGTAAGTGGAGAGATTCCAAGGGGATTTAATTACCATCAAAAGAAGAAATTCTTACATGATGTCAAAAGTTACTTTTGGGAGGAACCATTGCTGTATAAACATTGTGCCGATGGTATGGTACGTAGATGTATTCCCGAAAATGAGGTACATAATATTTTATATCACTGTGGCAAAGGTATGGCAATCAGGGTTTTATTGGCCAACTATGTATCGAGATGTTCGGGAATATGTTAAAAGTTGTGATGCATGCCAAAGAACTGGAAATATATCTCGAAAGAATGAAATGCCCCTAACTACCTTCTTAGAAGTTGAATTATTTGATATATGGGGTATAGACTTTATGGGACCATTTCCTAGTTCTTTTAATAATAAGTACATCTTAGTAGCAGTGGATTATGTTTCTAAATGGGTAGAAGCAATCGCTTCACCTACTAATGACTCTAAGATTGTACTTAGATTCCTTAAAAAGAATATTTTCAGTAGATTTGGTATACCTAAGGCCATAATAAGTGATGAAGGAAAACATTTTTGTAACAAACAACTGGATTCCTTATTGTTTAAATATGGCTGTAGGCACAAGACATCACTCCCGTACCATCCTCAAGCCAATGGACAAGCGGAGCTAGCTAATCGTGAGATAAAGCTCATTTTGGAGAAAACTGTGAATAAATCACGCAAGGATTGGGCTACAAAGCTAGATGACACACTATGGGCTTACCGAACGGCATTTAAGACTCCTTAGGGATGTCGCCGTATCGTTTAGTCTATGGAAAATCTTGTCACTTACCTGTAGAGATTGAACATAAAGCTTATTGGGCTATTAAAGCAATTAATATGGATTTTAATCTTGCAGGTGGAAGGAGATTACTTGAGCTGAGTGAATTGGAGGAACACCGGTTACATGCATACGAAAATGCCAAAATTTATAAAGAAAAGATCAAATATTGGCATGACAAGCACATTATTCCTAAACAATTTCAGGTAGGGCAAAAAGTGCTTTTATTCAATTCACGCCTGAGGTTATTTCCAGGAAAATTGAAGTCAAGGTGGTCTGGACCATTTGAAGTCACTCAAGTATTTCCCTATGGAGCGGTTGAAGTGGCAAATTCAAGAAATGAAAGGTTTAAGGTCAATGGACAACGATTGAAACCCTACTTGGCAGGTGAAATCGTACCCAAGGGGCTTATATGTCTTTTGGGCGACCTCTTCAATTTAAGAACTAATATGTGAGTCGAGCAACGACTATAAACAAAAGCGCTAATTGGGAGGCAACCCAATGTTTATGTTATATGTGTTAATTTGTGATTTTGTGGTTTGAATAAGTGTTTTAGTTAATTTGTTGTTTTTGTGTTATAGGGTTGACAAATGGAAGCAAGAATGACCATTTGAGGAAAAAGGCGAACTTTGATCAAGCAACTCAACCCCTTGATTTGCGTTAAAGGTGTTTTTGATTCATTAAAAGGGGTAAAATGCATGTTTATCATTTTACATGTGCACATTGATAAGTTTGGCAAACAAATGATCTGATGCATTTTGAGTGATTGGGGTACCAATGTAATTTTTAAAGTTATTTTCTGCAAAAATTGCAGAAGAAAAACGCGCTTCGAGTCGCGTTTTCAGAATCGCGTTTTCAAATTCTGCACCACAGAACAAAAAACGCGCTTAAAACGCGACTGAGTCGCGTTTTATGTAAATCGCGTTTTCAAGCCTGGATCAAGATCAAAAACGCGACTACATAAAACGCGACTCAAGTCGCGTTTTTAACTAAATCGCGTTTTCAGTCCTGCAAGATTTGTAACAAAACGCGACTTAGAAACGCGAGTTGAAGGCGCGTTTCTAGTCGCGTTTTCTGTGTCCGAATATAGCTTCAGAAACGCGATTTCAGCTTCATTTCTTCTCTTCTTCTCCATTTTCCAGGCGCGTTTTTCCTCTTCCTTTCTACCCAACTCACAAATCTTCATTTTTACTCCATAATCTTGCTAGAAATCATCACCCAACACCTTTTGAGCTTCATACAACCTTTTTAACTGATTAAAATCAAGAAAAACACCTCAAATTCAGTTTTTGAAGGATTGAAGGTTAGGGTTCTTCAACTCTAATTTCTTCAATTGGAGGTTGTTTCATAGGGCTTTTTGCATTTTTAGCATCACCAAACATCCTTCTACGTGATTGAGGTAAGTTTCTTCATCAAATCTTTTGATTTTTGAAAGTCATATTTTTTATCCTGAGCTATCTGACATCTTTTAATGTCGAAAATTTGATGATGTATTTGACTATTTTTGATTTTATTCATGCTTATTGAGATTGTTTAAGTATGTTTATGAGTTTAAATGTAGCAATTTTTGGTTTATTGCTTTAAAATTCATAATTGCTATATTTAAGGAAATCGGAAAATGAAGTTAGGATGTTTTTGAGCCATTGGTGATGTTTAATTATGGTTAAGAATGGTTAGTTGATGAGTTTGAGCATGTGCATTGTGTATAGTGAGTAATTTGGTTGATTTGGTGAGTTAATTGGTTTAATTTTTGCTTAAACATGATTATAGCTAAAGCATATTTTATTGTTAAGTTTAAATTTATAATCATAATTGTTGTTAATTTCACTGATTGGGTTATAATTATTCAATATCTTGTTTCAATTGGTGATTTTGAGTTTTTGGCATAAATTATGGCTCTTCTTGATTCGGTCTTTTACATTAGTTATTGGACGAATTCACTTGCAAGGACACATTAGAGATTATTTGGATCATTTTAGGATATTCATTGCCAAATTGTGCATTGTGTCTAAATACATGTGGTTAATTGCAAATTTTCTTTTAGGTACTATGCCAAGGGGAAGAAGAGCGGTACTTTCATCCTCTAGTAGTGAGGAGAGGGAGGTTAATGAGGAATGGAAGTGACTGAGGAGGAGAATTCACCTTCTCCTCCACCAGTTAGACAGCCTGGTGAGGGCACCTCCGTGGAGCGGGAGATCGGTTTGACAGTGCTAGGTTCAATAATCGCAGGAATCAAGAATGGCATGAGGAGCATGCTAACTTGGAGTTCCTATTTGAGATGCATGTCAACCCAACAGTTGATGATGTATAACATCTCAGAGGCTTTTGCTCAGCTTGGATGGGCTCCGATTCTCACCCTACCAAACCATTACTACCCCGACTTGGTGCGCGAGTTTTACGCTAACATTGAGAGTAAGGCGCGTCATAGTGGAGAAATGGTTGAGTCCTGGGTACGTGGAAGACGAATCACTTGTCATGTCAAGATTTGGCCGCTATTTTGGGGTGTATGGATGACGGCGTCCAGTAGATTTGAAGAAGGAGTTTGTTCCCCCGAATAGGAGGTGGGATCCCTCGCTGGCCATGGCCAGGTTTGGTCTTGAGTACCAACCTTTTCGCTCTACAAGGAAGGAGACCATTTTGGCGAATGTCTTCGAACCTCGTCATCGGCTTATCATTTACATGATGGCTCACAATGTCATCCCAAAGAAGACGGGGCACACGGAGGTTCGCAAGAGCGATATTTACTTCCTTGATTACATGTTCACAACCGAACTTCCCGTATGCTCGAATTTCATTGCCGAACATCATCATTAGCCACATTAGGTCTACGGCGAGGCGTAAGACAACTTCCTTCAAACTTTCATTTCCTCGTCTACTGACTTTAATCTTCCCCGTTTTGAGGTTCGCTTGGAAGGCATGAGGCGGGAGAATGTTCCTCCACGAGCTGAATGACTCTTACTACTCTTCGTCGCTTGGTATTGGCACGGGGAACGTTCCACGCCCTGTTCAGGAGCGGCGACAGAAGGCTAGACATGGTCGCGAGAAGCTGGAACATCTACTTAGCACCACCTCCTCCTCCGCCACAAACCAATTGGCAGCGGCTTTTCGGTCGCTTGGACGACATCGACCATCATTTAGCCCGACTGGATACTCGCCTGGACCACATTGAACATCATCTAGGCTTACATCCACCTCCCGTCGATGATGATGAAGATGACGATGAAGAGGATGATTGAGGCTGCCCTTTGGCTGGCTTTTCTTTTGTTTGCTTGTTTGTGTTATTTTTATCTTTTGTTTGAAAAATGTTAACTTACATTCCTTATTTTGAATATTGGAACTTGTGGCAGTAACTAGTAGATCGTTGACTGTAGATGGTTGAGCGGTCGATGACTCATGATTCAAGGCTTCACTGGACCGCAGCATCTCACTTGGGGAGTCACTTGTTCCTTTCTTTTGTTTCTTTTCTTTTCTTTCCCTACACATTGAGGACAATGTGTATTTAAGTGTGGGGGAGAAATGTGTGGTACTTGTGATTTTAGTTGTGTTTGATATAATTCTTGTGCTTAAATTGTGTTTCTTGTGGTTGCTGGCAGGGAGTTTAGTCCACTTTTAAGGGGAGACTCTGTCAAAATTTTTCCAAAACCTTATACATATATATGTTATTAACCATAATAAATAAATAAAATTTTGTCACTTATCCTTTTGAAATAAATATATGTGGTTTTGAAATACTTCTTTTCTCATGAATTTGGAAATGATTTTTATGTGATTATAATTTTTACATCTATAGGAAAGTATATCTAGTAAAGTGGAGAAAATTATGCCTACATTTTGCATATTTGATGAAAATTCTTCTTTTTATCTGATTTTATAAGATAAGAAATTAATATGGTCAATAAGTGTCATACTTTTCTCATGATTATTCTTAGAGGGAATTTTATTATATATATATAAAAAAAAAGGGTTATTCTACTCCAATGATTTTTGTACTTAGTAACCGGGAGTCTTCATCTTACAAATGTCGATTTCGCGTAAAACGGTACTTAAATTAAGAGTATGAAAAGCAACTTGAGTATGTGAAATGTTGAGTAACCGGGGATCTTCATCTAAAAATGTTGATCTTCGCGTCAAAAGGCATTTTTCACAACTTAAGTAATATTTAACCCTTAAAATATATATAAAAAAAAGAGAGTAAGTAAAATAAATCCCTCTTTAAAAGAAAATAAGAAGTTGATCATGAGATTAGTTAGCATCTTTATTGACTATAGGAGTTGCTTGCTTGCGAAATTGGATAAAAATAAGAAATTGAGTTGAATTGATAAAAATTATGGTATATTTGCTCCTCTTTGCTTGATATGATGAGTACTTGAAGGTTAATGAAAGATCACATAAGGGTTATTTACCTTGATTCAAGGAAATGGAGTTGAAATACTACATATGTTTATTTTCAATTTTTGGATCATTGATGGTTGGAATTTTATATTGCTTGAGGACAAGCAATGATTCAAGTGTGGGGGTATTTGATAAGAGTTTATTTTACGTATTTTTAAGTGCATTTTATTAGTTAATTTTGAGTTGATTATTTAGTTTTATAAATAAAATAAAGAGGTTTTTGGTAAAATTATATATTTTTGGTAAAAGTGGATAATATTGCATTTTGATTTTAATGGTAAAAACTTCATTTTTATGCAGGAATGATTCAATCACCAAAGGATGTCAAATGAGATGAAAAAGAAATTGGTGATGAATTCAAGTGGTAAAAAAAGAGAATGAAGTGAAAAACGTTCAAGAAAATGCAATACAAACAGTTTTGACACTCTTTGTATTTTGACCATATCTGGAGCTACACTTATCGGATTGAGGTGATCTTTATACCATTTTAAAGCTAAGAAAGAGACCTACAATTCGTATGAAGACATCGAAATCCAATTCTACCATTTTCATGGACGAAAAGTCAGAATACAGAAGCTGCATTCTGTGGTCAGAAATTAAAACAGAGGTTCGACCAGGTGATAGTATTTTGACCATATCTCAGGCTACAAAGCTCCGATTTGGATGATTCTTAAAGAATTAGAAAGCTAACTCAAAGGGCTACAACTTTTGTGTTTTACACAAAAGCTAGTTCGGTCTTTATCATGGAGAAAATCGCAGTTGAAATAAGGCCAGAGTGAAAACGCGAGTATACAAAACACGAGTCTATGCCGCGTTTTGTGTAGGCACGTTTTGTAGCCGAAAATCTGCTATTTGCTCAGCCATTCCTCTTGTGTTCAGACAAATTTCCAGCTATAAGTTGCAAGGGAATTCGGTACACATGCTTCAGAAGACCAAAGGGCAAGAAAGGGGGCTTATTTTCAAGTCAAAAATATTGGTTTTTGACTATGCTAAAAAAGTGGAGATTTGGGAATCAAAGACTTGGAAAAATGGAGCCTTTGAGTAGTTTTTATTCAGAGACATTGAAGGAGGTCTGGGAAGGAGACGTAGCTAGTATCCTCATTAAAAAACATAGTCTCTCTAGCTAGGTACTTGAAAAGGGACAATTGAGGTTTCATCTTGTAATCATCTAAGTTCAAGACAAGGAGATTTTTGGAAGGCTTCACCATATCTTGGCCAAGACTTTCTTTACTCTTTTTGTATTTGTAAATTCATGATGATTTGCATTAATGA